ACTCATACAAGGCAATTCCAACTGGCTGTCGTCGTTGTCGTAGTGACGCAAATATGGGAGCTCGCTTGGTGGCGTCGTTCGGTTTGGCGGTGGCGGCGGTCGCCCATGCCGCGTTGGAGCCACAGCGTGTGTGCATTGTGGGAGGGGGTGTCGGAGGCAGTGCAACCGCCTCGTTTCTCCGCGACCTCGTCCCCGACCCGTCCGCGGTCGAGATCGTCGTGTTTGAACAACACGACGTTGTCGGCGGCCGCATTGCCACGTTCGACTACCACGGCACAACGATTGAAGCTGGTGGCACGGTCTTCCTCACGGGCAATGAGTACATCATGCAGTTCACGAAGGCGCTGAACCTGACGCTGCGCATCCCGGGGGACACGCTGGCGTCCCCTCCCCAAATGGCCATTTTCAACGGCCGCGAGATTGTGTTTCAAACGTCGGCCATCTCGTGGTGGAACATGGCAAAGCTCGTATGGCGGTACGGCCCGTCCAGTCTCCGTGCATTCCAAAGCGTGGTCAACGACCTCCTCACACGATTTCGCCGCGTGTACGACCTCCAAGATGCTGGCCAAGCGTTCGCTGACCCAGCCGACCTCTTGCGGGCCATGCGTACGCAAGGACCGTATTCAATGTGTTCCATGACGGCTCCATGGTAGATCTGTACGAGCTAACTCAGGAGTCGTTGGAGACCAAGCTGGTCGAAGCGGGGGTGTCTCCGCAGCTGATCAACGAACTCTTGGCTGGCATCACGCGCGTCAACTATGGTCAAAACACGACGATGACGGCCCTCGCGGGCGCTGTCGGGCTGGCCGGAAGCGGAGACGACCTCCGTTCCGTTCGTGGCGGGAATCCGCTGGTATGCATGATGCCGTGTGTCGGCGCTTCAGATGGATCGCGTCATGACGACTGTAGATGATTCAAGGGCTGCTGAAGCGCGCCCAAGCCGTTGTCCGTACCAAAACGAAAGTCCACTCGATCCAGACAACTCCGTCGCTGCAAGTAGACACGTCCAACGGGCTCGTGTCATGCCAAGCGGTCGTGGTGGCCACGCCACTGGAGCTCACGGACATGGCGTTGCCACCGTCGATTGAAACCCCCCATCGCCCATTCCAGACCACCCATGCCACGTTTGTCCAGGGGGAATTGAACGGCTCGAAATTCGAGGTGGCGGGACCCGTGGCGGCCGGAGTCGTCTTGACCACCGAATCGTCCAACCTCCCGTTTTCGTCCATGGGGCTGCAGCATCAGCGCGTCGACGCAGCGAACGAAACAGTGTCGCTGTTCAAAGTGTTCTCTCGCTCGCGATGGAGTGAAGACCACGTGAAGGAATGGTTTGACGACGGCGCCAGTGTCGTCAAGCGATTCCCGTGGCGCGCGTACCCGACGTACATCACGCCAGAGCCCATCCCAAAGTTCAAATTGGCCGACGGCGTGTACTATGTGAATGCGATTGAAAGCGCCGCCAGCGCCATGGAGATGAGCGCCGTGGGGGCCCGCAACGTCGCCCTCTTGATTGCGAACCAACTCAAGAAAACGCCGCGCGTCTACGAAGCTACCGACGACACCAAGGCCGCCATGGACGAATTGTAGGAGGTAACGTGAGCACATTTTTGTGGTTGGTTACACAGGAGGAACCTTGGCTGCGACTCCACCGCTGGAAAATTGGAGAGGTCGGCCATCGGGGAGTGCACACACTGCATGCATCGTGTGCCTGTACACGCTGCTGGATGAAGTGCTTGCATGGAGCAGGTCCCGTGATAAAGCCAGCAGCAACATGTCATATTCGGGCAAAGTTCATGCCAAGTGGAGAGGGGCAATGCGGCTGTGGCTAGAGAGGCGGCGCTTGAATTTGTACAGCTAGCGCATGCACATGAATGTGGTCCGTCGTGTCCACCGCACAACGCCACATCTGCTGGGTCCTTGGAGTGCCAGCGAAGGGACGGCGCCATTTTTCAACGTGGAGACTGACTACTCGTCAATAGCTCCGATGGACGATGTCGCAGTGGAGTGGCGGCAGTGCAACCTACTCATCGAACTGGTTGGAGCGGCGTTTTGTGAGAGCGCTCTGTAGTCAGGCCACTACAACGGGACGAATCATGCGGCCAACGCAAGAATATTCATGCTGGTCATGCCGAGCGATGTTTCGCATGAGGTTGGACCGGACGAATCCGGTATGGCTCTACATGGCCGTCGTTAGGTGAAGGCCCCCCAGAGGAGGCCCAATTGAAAGCGCCACCCGCGCACCATCCTTGTCGATATTCGTGGGCTCGCCGATGTTGGCCATCCACACAAACACGCCAAGTAGGCGTGTTTGTCGGGGCTGCGTGGCGCACCCTTCTTGGTTGACCAACAAAACCAAAACCACCACGAATGTCCTGAATCCTGACTTTTTGAACAACCCCATCGACTTGCCACCACAGACTTGTCCATGGTGAAGACTTCCACTTACAGCTCGCTCTTGGGCGATCCATGTCGCTGACTCAACAAGTTCTAGATCGCCGACCAGCTTCCCACCCGACGATACTTGGGCCTACTGTGCATGGACAAGGCGTTCCAGCAAGCCGCCAAGACGCAGGCGCGTGCCCTCATCAAGCAGATCGAACATGTTATGGTCGACTTACTCAACAACTCGACGACATGACCCGTCGCGTCGCGTTCGACAAGGTAGCCCACGTCGATAACCTTATTCTGCGGCCCCGACTTGGTCGACCCGCCCATCATGAACTCACCTCTGTTTGCCGAGACGTTCCAGCGCCCCAAGGGATCGTCCATAAGCCCTGTCACGCAGTGTGTCGTGTGGTTGTGCTGTTGCTAGCGTTGAATAAACATGGGTACATACATGGAGGTCATGCGTCATGTTTGGTGAGGCGTCTGGTTGTCGTTAAAGAGAGCAATGCGAGGTGGCTCTCTTTTCAGCAGGACATCCCTGAGATCGCCGCCAAGGGCCATCGTCAGCTCACGCCTCCATGCAGCGCTAGCTTGCGTACTACCCACGCAATCAAAGCTCGTCCATTTCGCCACACATGGATGCACGAGAAATTCAAAAATACTTTCGGCGTCCGTCGTGCTAAGAATAGCTGGCCTCCGTCCTCCATTGCCGTCTAGACAGCAGAGTTTGTTGCACATATTCCCGGGTCTGCCGTCGTGACCTGGCGACGGCAACATGAGTACGTCACGGCCAAGTGGTCCCGCCATCAGTCGACGACCGTCGCCAGGGAAAGTGTCTGGTATTCCGAGTCCGTCCAATTCGACCGTCGCAAGCCCCCGCCACAACGCTGCTCCGGTGAAGCGTCCTGGATTTGGCAGCTCGACTGCCAAACCATGTCTATCTCCCCGGCCCACGACGGCCGCAACGACTCCGAAAACTCAGCCCGCGAAGAAGACAACTGCGCTAAAGGTTCCCGAACCGCCCAAGCCCAACCTGGAACCTCCTCCGCCAGTCCCGGTGTCTGTGCACAACGAATCTGGAAGTCCACAAGGCCACATCGACATTTCCACGACAGCTCACGTCAAGAACACGACACCATCGCAGCCACACTACCGCCAAACCACTCGTGCGTCGATCGTTCAGTCTATCAGCGCAGACAAGGTTTGTGGCAATCGACTCGTTGTCCTGGGTCGAGCCAAACTGGGTGGAGCTAACTATTTTGGTGTTGTCCAGGTCAAGCCTGTCAAAGTGTCTGGGCTAAAAAAGCCGTCGCCAACGAAGCTGTCGGTCAGGAACTCAGCGTCCCCTCGCCCCATCGACGCCACCGTGTCGACGCTCAAGGCCACTCTAAGTGAGCACATATCGCAGCAAACGTCCGACCTGCAAACACGAGTTGACGTGGCGATGGCACAAAACACAGCTTTGACCATCCAACTCGACAACGCGCGCCTGGCCAACCAAGAGCTCGAGGATCAAGTGGGGCAACGGGACACAGTCATTGCCGATTTGACGAAGGCGTGCGCCCGGTACAAGTCGGACTGCGAGTCATTTGCAGCCAAAGCCCTCGAGTGGAAACAAAAGTTTGACCACGCAACGGTGGGGCACGCAGCACAAGACCGCAAGATAGCAGTCGCCAAGACACGGGCGCTGGAGAAGCGCATTGCATACGTCGCGGAAGAGATGGCAAACACCGGGGGGCGAGCTGGCATCGCCATGGACTACTCCATTTACGTCGTACCGGAAGGGGACGAAGATGAAGCGAATATTGAGCGATGTGAAACGATGCTGTCGGGTCTGCAAAAGGAACTGAAGAAGGTTCAGGAGCGCCTTAAGGGGGAAAGCGCCTTGCAAGATGAGCTCGTGCACTGCAAGGCCGCCGCAGTCGCGGCGCAGAGAGACGTGGACGACATGAAGGCAAAACTGATGGCACTGGCAAAGAGCCACTGCGACGACACCGCGGATGCCATCGAGAAGATCGCGTTGCTAGACGAGGCCCTGGCCGATCTGGCAGCACAGACCCACGCTCTGGACCGGCAGTGCATGGTGACGGAAGACTTTGCGGAACAAATCAATCGCCTCGGCCCCCTCCTGGCAAAACTCCGCTTTGACAAGCAGTTGCTGGGAGAGCGGTACGCTGCGCTGCAAGCGACCCAACTCGAATCGCAGCAACGCTTGGATGACCTTGACGAAACCAAGGCGCGGATGAAACAAAAGATTCAGCATTTGAAGGGCCAACTGGCCGACGCAACCGACGCCCAACGACGAAATGCAGACGACATTGGCATGTTGGACTTGTCCGTCGCACATGCGGCGCTTCAAGCCGAGTGCATGCGCCTGCAAGACTCTGTAGAAGAGAAGAATTGGCTGACTACGTCGCAAGCTGTAGTCATTGGCGTGCTGCAGAGCCAGCTCGATCAAGTCCTCAATGCCCACGAGGAGCTTCACGGGGAAAGAGACCACCTACAGCCGTCGCCAACTCGGATAGAAGCCACGACCATTGCATGCGCCAGCCCGACGAGGCAGTTTGGGCCGCTGCAATATGCCCTGTACGAAACAGCGATCCAAGTATACATGGACGAAATCAAAGTCCTGCGCGAGGACTGTCGCGTTCTAAAAGCGCAATTGGTGGTGCACCCTGCCAACACTGAGCCATCGGTGGAAGCCGCGAAGTGGACGCACGAGCGGCAAACGTTGGTTGCCCAAGTCGAGCAACTGAAACAGGACGTCGAGCAGCGTTCTGAGCAACTCGGCGAATTTCAAGCAAGAGTTGGCGAACTGGAGGACCAACTGAGCTCCACCAGTCGCAGTTTGGAGGCGTCCCAAAGCGCATTGGAAGCGGAAACTCTCAAATGCCAGACAACCAAGGCACAACTTGAGACAACCACGGCGCTCACGCACGAACTTGCTGCGCAAGTCAAGCAATTTCCAAATCGGGAAGCCAAACTCCGTTCAGTGATCCAGCAACTCCAAGAGCATGAAGCGGCATCCGACGAGAAAGCGCAGAACCTCGAGAGCACCATTCATACACTGGAGCAAACCGTCTTGGTGCTCCAAGGCGAGGCGGAGGCATCGATCGACGAAATTTCAAAGCTGCTCGAGCAGCAAAAGACCATGCAAGCAGCGTTGACGCAAAGCAAAATGGAAACTACGACGTTGCATGAAGTGGTGCAAAAATTGCAGACTGGAACGACGCAACTCCAGACGATCATGGAGCAAGATAAAGAGGATCTGGTTGATGGATACGAAGAAGAGGTGAAGCATCTGCAAAAACGTGTGCTCGGGTTAACCAAGAGGTGCGAAGACTGCTCGGCACAGATTCAAGACCTCCAACTCGAGCGCGATGCTGCACTGGCCAAGTTGTCCGGTGCCGAAGCCACGACAGCGGCAAGTGCTGTGGAGAGGCAGGAGCAGCACGGTGCCCTGAAAACCCAGATCGAGTCGTTGGAGGGGGTAGTCGAAGCCAAGACAAAGGAAATCGCGCAGTGGCAGCATCGCGTGACAGATTTGGAAGCTATCGTGAACCAATTGCAGGCTGAAAAGGCGCAGTACAAGACCGAAGTCCACGCGATTGAAGCGCTTCTGCACGAGACAAGCCCCCTTCAGCAGACCGTCGACGCGCTTCAGAACGATACCAAGCAATTAAAGGTCGGGAAATCACCCTCTAAACACGGTAAACAGCCAGGATGCGGAAGCCCCAAGGAGCTCAAGCATCTCCGACAACGCGTCAAGGAACTCGAGCTGGAGAAGGACTTGCTGGTCGCAGAAGTGGAGCAGGTCAAGGCAAGCAACCACCGTGACGGCAACGTAGCGTTTTACGTGGCGCAAGTGGACGGCCTCGAAGAGAAATTGTCCGAGCAGACGGCCATGTACTTGTCCAGCGTCAAACAAGCACAAGCTGAATACAAGGACCTCGAGACTCAATACCAAGCCAAGATCCGACACTTGGAGATGGAGCTGCAGCTCGACGAAGCGCGCATCGAAGCCCTGGAAGGACGCCTCGCGGAGTCGTTGAGTCATCGCAGTGTTGCAACCACTCCGATGCGGCGAGGGCGGCGGTGAGACTCGTGTGTTGATGAAGTTGGCAAATGTCTAGCTGCCATTTTGATGTATTGTTACGTATGCGAACGACTAGGCGCGGCTACCGAACAGCGCCAAAAGACTTGTACAATGCATGAATCTCATGTAAAAGTGTTAGTGTTGACGCTGGCGCCGTTGACAGGCACAGTACGCCGTGAGATTTTCCGACGCGGATGCACACATGTCACTGTCTGTGGCATTTACATTCGCAGGGGATGGCCACACAAGATCGTATTTTTCTCGAAAGACGGCGTACTGTCCGATAGCAGAAGTGGGCAGCACTGTAAATGGCACGATCTGCTCAGTGTCTGCGTCGTCGTTGGTTGTAAGGGCAACGACGTATTCCCCCGCAGGCCACCCTTGGTGCAATTGGCGATCGAGCCGAACAGCTGCAAGACCTGTTTGGGGAGGCACTGCAACGGTCGTTGAGATCTGCACCGGGGCGGCGTCGGCACTCTCTTTGCGGCGAACTTCCACGTTCAACTCGGACGCAAAGTCGATGGGAAAGTAGACTGTCAGCCAAATCCCATCGTCGTGGACGGGGTTAATCACCCCATTGGGCAATCCCTGCAGTCTGCTGCGATTCCACTTTTCCGACACGTGCGACAGGAACGTTGGAGTGCCAATTGCGGCCGTGGCTGCGCGCGAGACAATGATGGCCTTGGCCAGCTCCACATTGCCAGAGGTGCCAAACATTCCCACAGCTTCAATCGCTACGTTTGAGGAGTGATGTCGACACAAATCAAAGCGTGTATCGGGGACGGCAGTGGCTGTAAAATTGAGCACACTTGGCTTGCTGCATTGCATGGTTGGGTCGTGACGCCACACGTTTGCATAGTGGGCATCGAACACGTATCTCGCGAGGTTCTACACGTGGTTCAGTTCCCGCAACTCCTAGGAAACGTAGAAATCCTACCTCGTATAGAGCAGGCTCGACAGAATCGCAAGTTGGCGACTTCAAGTCAAGTGCCGAGCGAGGCACGAGATCGAGGCACTGCCGAGTGTCGCAAATGGTTGATGGTGGTACAAAGTTCGCCTGCTGGGGCTCTGGAAAGAGCACAGTGACGACTTCGAGATGGGATTGCCGAGCCCACGCCACGCCACACAGCGTGACAAATCCCAGTGCCGCCGACAGGTACCGCACTTGGCGCTGCCGTTGTTTGCGCTGTTTCTGTAGCTTCTCCATTTGGGTGAGGTAGTTGTTGATGTGGAGTGGGGTCCGGCGACGAGAGTCCTGCAGGAGACTGCAAGCTTCGTCGCCATCTTCGATTGCATAGTCCTCGTCATAGGTCGCATATCCGCCGTCCATGATGTTGAAACCGCGATGGAATAGTGACGTATCTTAAAGAGGCACAATCCACGGCCAAACGTATTCCATACAGTACAACGTACGGTACGACATATATTAGTCTAACCGCCAGAACAATTGCGCCGTAAGCATGACCGTACACTGCACAATGTACCACGAGACAGCAACCCGGAGAATAAATTTCCAAGTCGAAGCGACACGCCAGCCGACCATCCCAACTGCATGCGCGACCTTCATGATACAATACCCACAGTGTGCGCATGGAGGACTCGATGTATATTGTAAGAGCTTGAGTTGAGGTGAAATCTGTGATGTAGTCGACACTAGCCCACGGGCTCCGAGTTCTTGAAAGACATGTGCTGATTGAGCCACTGCCACGCATTCGCCACGTCGTCCAAGTGGACTTCGTCGCCAATCGATGTGGCGAATGGCCGGTACATATGATTGAGCATGCTGGGTTTGCACTGGAGGACGCCGCGAGCGAGTGAATGGCCAACGCCCTCCATTCGACGAACACTAGTGCTCTGCTGCATGGCCGCGAGCTTCACCTTGAGCTGTTGGATTTTGCCCTTGTACAGTTGAGAAGTCGATTCGTCCTGCGCCACCGCAACCAACTCTTGCATCGCCCAGTACTTTTCAGCCAACAAGTGCTTGTCGAACGTTACGGACGCCAGCGCAACGTGCATCAGTGCGAGATGGTCGCGATTGTCTTCGTTCACCATGCCTTCTCGATTGAGTGCTTGGCCTTGGACATTCAATGCCTCGATAGACTCTTCCAAGAGCGCCGCGACAGCGTCGTGCTTGGCTTTCCACGCCATCACTTGGTTCGCCAACGACTCGGCTTCTTCCCGATAGTGGCGGCACTGGGTACTCATTTCGGCAATCGCGTCGTCTTTTTGACGAAGTGCCGCCACAAGGTCGCCAGTTGAGCGCAATGTAGAAGGCGGCTCCTACGCTTGCGTGAGCAGTGCAATCACCGCCAAGGTAGGCTCCATGTATGCCGCGGCACTTACCTCGAAAGAAGTGGTCTTAGTTGGAGACAGGTTGTTCGAGGATACAAGTGTGGGTGATTTCTTGAGGGGTGACTTGGCCACCATCAGCTTCTAGAGTGTGAACAAAGCTCAACTCCAAGAAATGTCCAGGCTGGTACACGAAAACGTCGGCAACGAGACCTTCGGGACGACGACGTACCTCTTTTGGTGAGACGGGGGCGGCGGCAGTTCGTTTCGACTGGTCAATCGAGGACTTCGACGGTGACGGCGGAGGGCTTCTCCCAACGCTTGACAGTAGCTGAGTGGGGGCTGTCGGCAGCACGCTCGACTGCTTCGATGGCGATGGTGTCACAGTCGCCAGGAGTGTCTTCTTTTGAGTGGATCGAGGTGGCGACAACGATGCGCCAACTCGAGTTGGCTTGCTGGGGCTCGGAATCGCACTTGGTATTGCTTTGGAGACAGATGGGGCAGGGCGGCGAAGGAGGACAGTGGGGCACGATGTCGGCGGGAAGCTCATGCTGGGCAATCAATCGTGAAATGCTGCAGTCTATACTTAGTCATCCCACCGACGAGTCTGCATTTGGTCATTCACGTTCAAGTTCAGAACCACCCCTGAGGAAACTTGTAGTTCGCAAACGAATTCCATTCAATTTTCTCCGCACTGACTACTGTCGCCTTGTCCCTCACGCAATGCGTTCGTACAGTGCGTGGCGACAACTCGTCCCCACGACCCCCGCCACAATTCCAATGGCTGCAGCGACCACGGCCACCACAGCAAGCTGCCCCCACGTTGAGGCCGCAGTAGCCCCCAACTTCATCGGCATGGGGTGTTTGGGCTTGTGCAGCAATTCGTGGGTAAAATGTTGCGTGTTGTTCCACGAGATGTAGCTCGTGTTGCCCAGGGTTCGCTCAATGCGCGCAATCTTCGTCTGATCGTACGGTCGCAAGCCATAGATCGAGCCACCGTAGGCAGGTCGCACCTTGTCCCACACAAACACATCGTCCGCCACGTCTGGTACCATGGCATGGCAGTCGCTCTCAATGACCAAGTTGTTTTCCCCGCGCACGATCTTGAAAAAGCCATGCTCGCCCCAGTAGCTAGTGCCACCAGCTCCCGTTAATGCGAACCACACAAACAAAAAGACCACACGTACGTGCCCCACGAATTGCGCACGTGCCAGTACTTGACACCGTGCGAGTCTTCGCCATAACCCACAATCTCGACATCGTGATCCAACTCAGTAAAGTTGGTCGTGTCGCGAAAAATGCCCGCAGTGTAGTTGAACACAAACTCGTTAGAACACGCCATGCCACACGTAATGGGACCGTGCTGGAGCTCCTTCATCATCGCATGTTCGCCAGAGAGGCGCCAATACTCCTTGGCACGATATCGAATCGTTTGAGTCACTGGAAAGCACACCGGCGTGTCGGGGCTGTCGGGTGTCTTCATGCAGCTACAAGACAGACGTCAGCGCCATGCAATCGACGCTTGCGTTGGGGTCGGTACTCGATGCAATAGCCTTCCGGGGGGCACGTGCCGTTCGGGTTTGACGACGTGATGTACTTGGTGTGGTCCGTGGCATTGTAATGTAAACAGGTTTCGTCGGGAAGGCCATACAAACGCATAAACTCGTACACGTCGGCGGGCTCGCCGCCCTTGCAGCCATGCGATAAGCCATGCCCCGGAGCGCAATTGAGAAAACTTTGCCGGCCCATCATCACGTCAGGTCGCTTCCATCCGAGTGTGTGGTGTAAGATCTTGATGCGGTCGTTCACCGAGGCCAGCGCCCCGTGCGCAAAACATGACCCGCAGTACACAGGAATATGTTGGTTCCACGACGGTGTGCACATGCCCCGCTCGCACCAGTCCAAGTGTCGAGGCAATGATTTCATTTCGTCCAATTCGTCGTCGGTTGGCGGCGGCAGTTTGTGGACATTCGGGTGCAAGTGCTCTCGTCCTTTCCACGTCCGATGGCACGTTCGGCTGTCATGGGCGGTACACAGCGCAACGACGACGACCGCCGCCGCTACAACAAGACTCAATACTCTCCCAGCTCCTGAGCGCATGGTGGATTGCAAAGTGCCGGAATGCTCGAGACAGTGTTGCGCCAGTTAGGCGGGTTGCCCAACGAACTAGGCAAAACGATCCATCGCCCCAGTACATATATAAACGATCCCGAACGTATGGGACACGTCCATCGGTCACTTTATGTGAAAGGGGGTCTCCTGTCGGAACCCGAACGTGGCCGTTGGGCCACACATTACGACAGTAAAACGTCGATTCTTACAAGGCAAATCGCCTCGAACTTCGTCCGAAATGTTTGCACAATGTCAGAGAGGGGCGTAGTTTGGAATTGCAGCGCGTGAGCGCGCTTGACGGCTATGTATGCCTGGCCTGAGCTTGGCGGGCGCCAAGTATATCCATGCAACGGGTCATGAGTGATGCAGATCTCAGTAAAAGAGGCAATGGAGAACGTGCTTGGTCGGCTTCGAACACGGCCAAGACCACGTTCAGTGCCGTGGGCAGGCGAGAAACGTTGCTCGACGCCTTCTTGTCGTCAAGGAGAGCATGGAGGTCGCCGCGAACGGGCGACAACAGCGTGATTTGAATCGCAGGCCAACAAGAGTCGCCCAACCAACTCGAACAGCAGTACCTCGGCCAGTTCCAGCTCCCGTTGAATCCCATCCATCCTGCCGCCAACACACTCGCCAAATCCAAACGCGGTGTCGCCGCCCCATCCACAGCTTTCAACTCGATCTTGCTGTCGCCTTCCTCAGATGTGCACAGCCGGAGCATCGCTTCTTTGCTGTCGACGCCCCAGACGTTCTTCCTGCCAGCTATACAACCACGAGACGATCTCTTTCGCAACAGCCATCCACGTCATTGACAGATCACCAGCAGCAAGGCGCCAATCGAGCGTACGCGGTGACTCGAAACGATGACGCCCACCCGCTGTTGTCCCAAATCGCTTCATCGACGCAGTTAACCCTGACAGACCGCAGCAAGGGGCCTTCAATACAGTGCTCAACATCTCTGTCCCGTGTTCATAGTACCCCGCTTCCAAGGACCTCAAACGTTACATTTGTCGATGGCGCACGTCGAATGGATTCGTAGCTGACACTGGCCAGATGATCACACACATGCTGGCGTGAGTTGCAAGCAGTGGTGCACCTTCGGCGTAACTAGTGTGCGCGATGTCAGTGTCTAGAGCGATTTTTGTGCAAGCCGACAGATAGCAGGACGTGCTTCGATCTGCCGTTGCCACCCTCCCAAACCAGCCGTCCGACTGGGGGTGGTCAGGTGGCTCCCATGTAGGCTCGCGTGCCTCAAACATACTCGAGCTTCAGACAAGTCTGAATTCAGCACAAGATGGCCACCATGGCACCAGTATCGAACCTAATGTCCTCGTTATGATGCACATGGTCGACCTCATCATCTCGGGTCCTCATGGTCCAACACGCTGCATGCTGTGCATTGGTGCATTCGGTCACAGAGTGTCGCCGCCCACCACTCAGGCAGTAGCCTGGAGCCAAGGGTGGTGTCGCAAGGCTTTTTTGACAATCGGCAATGGCGTTGCGATTCCCTGGAATCCGACTTGCTCGTCACGACATGGCGATGAACTTGAACTTTTTGTGCTGGGTTTGCGCCGCCGTTAGCTCGACGACTTTTCGCTTGGGTTGTTCGATCGCCCACTGCTGCCATCTCGCTTGATGTTGCGCTGTTGACATTTGCCGTGCCGCGTGGTAGGCACTCTTGGATGCATCCTGGACTTGACTCTGTCGCTGGGCCATAGCGCGGGTGCGCTCTCGTACTGCCTCGCGCTTGAGTTCGTCCGGGATCACGGCGTCGTGCTTGCGGAGCAACGGAAGCAACTTTGGCAGTAACGACGTGTTCTCAGCACCGATGTAAACGGTAGCGGTCCCAGCGGTGGCATCGTCGGAACCCGGCTGCCGACCGGCCCGCCCGATCAAGTGCACGTACTCTTCAGCACAGTCCATCGTGACTTGTCCTATTGTGACTTTGTATCATGGCTTACCTTCGATAGTCGGTGGCAGATCAAACACCACAACGTCATCTACTGACAACAAATTCATGCCTCGACCCAGGACACCCGTGGATACGAGAATTGGAGCGGCGCCGTCGACAAATGATTGTATAATCGACAGCCGCTGCGCCTACAGAACAACAGGGCTACGTGATCTCCTTTGGCACTTTCATCCATAGCACCCCGAGCGCGCCCAGTCACTTGATATCTCGAACGGACTTGGCTCGTATGTCGCATCCAAGCGTACCTGGGTCTTTTCGCTGTGAATGGCAAGCGCTGGAATGTTGCATGCCTTGACAATGGACTTGGCCAGCATATCCGCCCCAACTTTGGATGAGACGAATACAAGCTATTGCCACAGTCACCCCATTTGAACGAAGGAGGATGGGTCGACAGGCGTGCGTACGATGGAGTTGTCCGTGTCGCCAGGCACACACTTTGCCTGTAGCCACGCGAAGAAGTGCTGCTTCTTCGCTTCGGGTGAGTCGACGTAATGGATGACTTGCCGCGTTGTCGAGTTGGGCAGGCTCGACGTCGCTGTGCTCGCCACCGACACATGAATTGCTTCGTGGAGATGGGTTTGGGCAAACTTGAGCACTGCGGGTGTGATGGTGGCCGAGACCAGCACCATTTGCCGGGATAGTGGGAGTGCCGCAAGAATCGCGACCACTTTGGACTCGAAATCGCCTGCATCAACGAGCATGTCGACTTCGTCCAGAACGCAGCACACGACATGGGACAAATCCAGTGTGAACTCGGTAACGAGCTCGTACAGCCGACCAGGAGTGGCCACGATAAGCTGAACTCCTTTTTTTAGTCGATGGAGCTGTTGCCACGTCAGAGACTGCTGGTAAATGAAATATCGTACTTGATTTGGCAAGGGAATGCCGCCCACGAGCAACGCTGTTTTCATCTTTGGAATGCCTTTCATCAAGGCCTAAGCGGGGATTTCTTTGGCATTTTGTACATGTATGACAGAATCCAGTCGCTCGTACTTTGGCCTGTGTTTCCAGCTGCACACACAACTCACGGACAGGTGCAAGAATAACGCCGATGATGTGGTGCACGTCCACGTCCATCCGATGGTCAATGACATGGGCCACCAGCGGAATCAAGTAAGCGAGCGTCTTCCCGGTGCCTGTGGGGGAGCCCACGACAAGCTGTATCCACGTCAAGACGATGGGTGCAAGGGATCGAAGTGAGCCACTTACATGACGGTGCTGCAACATGTACGGCAACACTTGCATTTGAACGGGCGTTGGATGATCGTATCGTTCCCGCTGCATATTAGCGTACAGGTCGTCGTGCAGATGCAAGAGATGAAACTCTGTCGCCAAAAGGATGTCGACGCCAGCACCAGTGACCGTGATCCCGAACTTCTGCTGCAAGGCGCGACTCGCCGCGCGCTCAAGAGCGCGATCGCGGCATTCAATGCTGCATACGTCTTCGTCTGTTTTGTCGCAAATGTACTCTCCATACCTTCCGCATAGGACGCACACAGGCTCCCCACTCAACGGGAAACGCTGCGCCTCCGACACGGTGACCACTCCATCAAGCTCGCTGGTTGAACTCATCGTCAAGATCCGGATGACAATTTCGCCATCCGGTCAAACGCCAGCCTCGATGTATGCGCTGGGAGCACAAGACTTTCCGGCAAGTGCGCTTGCGTGCACGTCACTTCCTTGGCATGACGTTGACTACAGTCTGGTGTGGAAGAGATCGACAAAGAGTCATTCCGCTGATCTCTCCACCAGTATAAGTGGAGGTAAAAGATTTGTCAGCGGTGGGATTTGAACCCACGAGTGCGAACACAGTAGAACTTGAGTCTACCCCCTTGGACCGCTCGGGCACACTGACTTTTCTTCTAGACGAGATGCCCCAGGACTAGGGGACAAGCAGAAAGCGCACGCGCTTCCAGCAGCGCCGGTAAGGATAGCGGCAAGTGCTCCAGCTGCACAAGCCAACCCATATGACGAACTCGACCCCGATTATAACTCGGCGGCCGAATCCGACACCGGAGCCGCGAGTGCATCAGCGGCCCCAGACCAAGCCCAGGCAAACGGGGTCGCTGAAGTCGACAAACGCAGCATCCCCGCAGGAAGCAGCGCAGGACGTCGATCAAGGCGAACAAAACCAAGGCATACAAGACGAGCGTGAACACCCCGGGGCCCCAGCCGGGGAGTTGCTCCTCAATATTGCTCCTGCCGGTACACCGGTCTTGAACAGACGTGCTGTTTGTCTTAGGCGCAAAGAGAACAGCGGCAAGCGTGTGCAAGCGACTTAGTCCAAGAAGGCGAAAACAAAAATGATTAATGGAGGTATGTCTGCTGCTTGTCCTCCTATCCAACTCTGTGTTCAATGTCTGCCGTCCCTTGTTTCAATGTCGTCTGAGTCAGGCAGGGTTGATTCAAGTCAACCGTCACGCTGCTGACGTCGCCGAATCTCAACACTCTGATGACGCGGTGTACTTGACCGTTTGTTTGGTTCTTGTTGTCGCGGTTGGTGCATCAGTCCTTGCGGCGGGAGGTTGGGCGACGATGTTGTTTCTTGGGGACGAGCTACCATCGTCCAGCGTACGAACTTTTGGATCGCTTATTTCTTTGCGGTCTTGGTAAGGGCGTCGGTCAACATGTCAGCCGTTGGGACGAAGTGGAGCACGAGAACACCACCAAGAACTAGCTCCCGGAGGTAGTGGTGCCGCACGTCGATACGTTTTGTCCGTTCACTGATTGCCGTAGTGTTGGCGGTGGCGATTGCCGACTTGTTGTCGCAGCTCAGCGTCAAACATTCCTCTTCAGACCCCAGGTCACGCATCAGATCATTGAGCCAAACGGATTCGCGAGCAGCCTCGGCCGCGGCAACGTATTCGGTCTCGCAGCTGGAGAGCGCTGTGATGCGCTGGCGTACACGTTTCCACATGATCATGCCGCCAAGATACAACCAGCAGAAGCCTGTGGTGGATCGTCGGTCGGGGCGCGTCGCCCAGCTTGCATCGCTGAAGCCGGTAAGAATTGGCTCACCAGTGCCAAATTGGATTCCATGTTGCTTCGTTCCAGCCAGGTATCGAAGAACACGCTTCACACCAACAAGGTGCGGTGCCCTAGGGGCGTGGAGGTGGCACGACTGTCGTTGGACAGCGTGCGCGATGTCTGGTCTCGTGCAGATCATGAGGAACACCAGTGATCCAACCATGGCGCGATACTCCCCTTGATCAACACTTGGTTGACTTTCGTTGTAGCCATTGATCTTCTTAGTCCGCGACTTCGGCCACAGGAGACACATCGCCAAGTTGAAACGATTGAGCACCTTATCTGTGTAGGCGTCTTGCGTCATGATGAGTTCGCGGCTGTTTACGGTGCGGGTGATGCGGACACCGAGCATGTAATATATGCCACCTTGACGTTTCAGGTTCGTCCTCGATGCCAACTCGTCCATGATGCGGTCAATTTTGGGTTGCGCAGGT